AGTTTAACTAAGTCTTAGTTTCCATGTATCTTTTAGACAAGACAACTTTTATTATAATTAGTAATAAGGGATGATTAGTCAAAGAAAGAAAAAAAAATCATRCTGAACCAATCAGGTTGCGCCTGCACACGAACTTTTTTTTTCGCTTTGTTCAACAGACATTGCCATCTACTAGTGAAAAGTCATGTTTGCTGTTTCTGATCACATTCTTCTATCCTGAAGTCTTCCTGCTAACGACTCACACACTGATCAAGAACAGAGAAAATAACGAAGACACTTCTCAATTGTATCAAGTAAGATTGTTGTTTTAATGCTCTCATATACAAAAAGTCTGTGTCATTTTTGTAATTCTTCTTGTTTTAAGTCATTAATTTGCAGAAGCTATTTAGGCTATCTAAGAGAATGATTTGAAAAAGGCGAAAATATATATTTAGCAAGGAAAGGAAAAGACAGGCAAAGAGGATGATGCTCATCGTGTGCTATGGATATCAAATATATAGGATAGCCAGAAAAAAGGCTAGGAACTTTGGCTGAGATATGAAGTTTTGGTTACTCTTTCAGGCTATTGAAGTATTTTTTATATAAGTTTTGCGAAAATTTCCGATGAAAGCCAAGAAAAAGCGTAGGATATCGAAAGTTCTCATTACCCTTTAGATTTTAATCCTTTTACTTTCTTTAACGCACATAAAACACACTTCAAAGTTTATTTGGTTAAAGTCCGGCATTCGGACCCCYGCAATAAGAATTTCCAAGGTGTCTGGTTCACTCTAATCTGTGTAGCTTCAGCTTTAAATACAGAAGGAGTTCTAATAGTTTCAGGGGGTAATAGACGCACCTTAGGACGCTTTTTCAATAAGAAGAAAACTAATTATCTATAAGTTACCTATTTTAAGACAGTAAAATGTTTAGAACTTTTAAAAACCGTAATATTAGGATCAACACAATCTTTTGAAGTCTTAAATTAACCGATAGGAAAACATGTAGATATTTCAAAGTTTTAATTTCTTATGATCGCTGACCACGTGAATTCTTAGAGAACGAAAGCTCGGGCTTTCGTCAGCCCACCAGAGGTTCACTGCATGCAAGTGCGATGAAGGCAAAAAAACGTTCGGAGAGGAAATGGTTAATATATATCCATTTCTTATGACGTTTTTCTTTATAGCAGGGAAAATAGGAGACCATTTTAGAGAATATTATTTATGCCACGTCATGACTAAATCACGGAATCAACGTCCATTTCACAGTTCCAAGCGCCATCTTAAAAAGAAGCCGTGCCTCTGCATCGAAGCGAGACGAATGGCATGAGCTTGTAATGATAGAGACCTTTTTTAACACCTTGGACGCAATTATTCCTATATTCCTATATGACAATTACTCATTCATTGTTCATTTTTCGATCGCTGATTGGCTATTTTGTATGATCAATAATAAGAGGTAAGACAAATAACCTARGGTCAACGAGCGCGCGTTCTTTCCGTTGGTTGTTTTGATCATTAAAAGAAATTGAAAAATTGCGTGTCGTTGGTGATAAAAACAAAACAAAAGGAGGTCCCTTTTCTATGGTTTGTACGCTTATCGAATATTAAATGACGTCGGCATATGAAAACATAGGAAATATGGTGAGGCAAAAGCAAAAGTTTATTTTCGATTAAGGAAACACTAATGTATGTACCTGAACCTTTGGATTTTTTCGGAAGCCTCACGAATTTCCAGGAGAGTGAACCAAAAGTAGCCTAATTTCGAGTTCGATCGCAGCAAAAATTAGCCTTTTTTGACTCAAGCGGTTTTTCGACGATTTTTCTTGTTTAATAAGATATTTCGAAAAACTAACCTCATTTTCGTTTATTTGGTACCTAGCACTATCAATCCACAAAATAAGAGCAAAGTCGATTTTTTGACTTTGTCCGCGGCATTGCGAATTTTGTTCGATTTTTACTGACATTCGCTCTTAAAACTTACTTATTTGAATTAGCTTTCCGGCGATTACGACAGATCTAAACTATAGCTAGATGTTATGGTGTTTCTGTGGTAGTCTCGCTTCTAGGAATAAATCATGCATCCTAATCCAATATGGCGTCCGTAGTTGTAGTTTTATACTAGCTTAATCATACTAAACATCGGATTAGGGAAACTACAATACGTTAGAAAACTCATTAATAATTCATGAGGAAACACAATAGAAATCATGACCATGAAGGTGATTTTATATCTGATAAAGATTCGTCTTCATTTGCATAAACTTTAACTTGGATTTTCTCTATCAAACTTGGTTCATTTCGTAAAGTATTCTGTACAATATGAAAACATACATCATCACTTTTCTAAGTCGTTTAATAAACTCGCAGATCGTGTTTTATCGGGTCTAAAACCACTCGGCTACGCCTCGTGTTTTATACCCGATAAAACACTCTTGCTCGTTTATTAAACAGTACATAAATTGTCTGCTTTGATGGCAAAAGCTATGAAATGATTTAGGTTATTGCAATACGTATTCCAAAATAAACGTGTACTCTTATCATCACATTGTCTATCTTAAATATTTAAATTTATTTTTCAGTATAGAAGAGGATTTTTTTTTTTTTTTACATTTTTTTCAATTAATTTCTTCCTCTTTTTCTTTTTCTTCTTCTTCTTATCATTATGATCATCATTATTACTAGTATAATTCGTATAATTCGTATAATTCTTGTAATTTTCGTTTGTTTTATTTTCTGTTAAGAATGTTGTTTGCTATCGTAATTCTGCTCAGTGGTTTCGTCCATTCAAGCATGTGCTGTCCACCAGAACTTGATGGTTATTGCCGTAAGTAACCACTGTATATTATACTAGAAGTAAGATATAAGCAAATAAAACATGTGGATCACCAAATTCGTTTAGCCGTCAGAATGCGAGGAAGTTCACCACTTTTTATGGTAAAAACTCACGAACTACGTAAACGCGTTAACATGCAACGCTGTCAAAAATAAACCATATTTTGCTGGGGAAAAAAAAGTTGATCGTCCCCACTGGGATGACGATGAATGCAAGGGAACAACGCCCACGAACGTCGACTCTAAATAGAGAGTTTTAGATTGCCTTTTTTTCTTCCCACAAACGGCAAACGTGACCACGTTTTCGTCGTTTTCCTGTAGTTTACTTTACCTTTTACAAACCTTCTCACCAAAGACAAATATTCTTTTGTTTTTCTACTACTTAGACTTTTTTGCGATTCTTTTTAAGCTATTTAAAATAATTTTTAAATGGTCAACTGACGTTTCACGTTTGCCGTGAACGTAAATCTAAAACTCTCTAAAAACTCAAATTTGCTACCCGTGAAAAATTCCCTTCCAATGCATCACATCTCAGCTCGTTCTATTAAAAATCGTCCTTCTAATGAGAATTTTGGATTTTAATCGCATTTTCTTTCTTCAGATGATTGGGTGAAGCTGAACACCGCGCCCGTCTGTTTCATGACTAAAGATAACAAGCCCGGTTCGTTTACTCCCACAAGTCATGGCTTTCTCACCGCTGTAAAGCTTGTCCATCTGAGTGGTTACGTTACCTGTGATTCAAGGACGCACCAAAATGATAATAACTGGGGATGCAAGGACCGTGCAAGTGTAAAAGACGCTCCGCTGAACACGTTCGTTACTGACAAAAATAATAAAGTAATGTTCCCTCTAACTGGAGTATTGTAAGTTGATTTCTTTTATAATCGAACTCGTTCAATCATCCTTTGATTATTCTTAAATGCATCATTTATATCAATATATTTAAATATATAGTATACGTAATAGCATAAGTATAAGTATTTATAAAATAAATTAAATAGTACGCACGCTGTGATTGGTTGATAGCCATGTTTGCATGAGGATATGTAAACACAGTTGTGACGTCACAACTTTCGTGTCTTCCCGGTACAAGTTCAAAAATTAAAAATTTACAGTTTCTTTCGAGGAAAAAAACGCCCCCAAAAATGTATTTTGAAGACGAAGTTCCAAATTTTGACTTGTGTCAGGGCCACAGGCCTATGGTCTCATGCAGGTCTTTCTGATCGTAATATCATGACAATCTCTCGTTGGTCACCGCAAAGAGAATTCCCTCAGGAGCTACAACACACGTCCTCCGTCAGGACAGCTTCGGTTGTTCAGCGACGTGCTTTCTCATGATTTAAATGCACAGCCCGATAAAGAATACAAATATTTCAAGGAAACAGTCAGCAGCTTCAAACTTTTTCCAGCGATAGCTCTTCAGCTCCACAAAATATCTTCACGAGGCAAGACGAAACAATCAACTTCGCTGCCATGTTTTCTGGCTGTCAAATTGAGCAAAATCACGTTTCTTTCAACCGAGAATTCCATTCACAGTGACACTTGTTATCTACTYTTGATCACTTTCGTAAAGACAATCATGATTCAATTCTGAAATCTTTTATTATGATTTCTATTCAATCTTTGGACATTTCTTTGTATTTGTTTTAAAGTTTTAGAATGATAAATGTTTAAAATAGCTAGCGATTCTTCCTCGCTTCACATTGCCTCCTTGGCGTTTATTACACGAAATTTGATTGGCTAACGATCGAAGTTCGTGATGTATGGAGAATTTGTATTTTGATATGAGAATCAAATTCAAATAAAGTTTTATTTTCTTGCAAGTGGTAATGTTTTCCCTTAGTATCTATTTTATAAAAGCAATAGAAAACTTTTTTCTCTGTGTTTACATAGCCTGATAGCAACACTCGGGGGTTGGGAGAATTCTCGACAGTTATGCAAACCCTCGACTACGTCTCGGGTTTGCATAACTGTCTCGAATTCTCCCAACCTCCCCTCGTGTTGCTATCAGGCTATGTAAACATGGAAAAAGTTTTCTATTGCTTAAATATTTTTCCTTAGAAGTCATTATAATTACACGACTTTAGTGTAAAGCAGTTGTATAACTGATGAAATGATGGTTAAATAAAGTGAATCCTCCTCCTCATCATCATCATCATCACTTATATAACACCATCATATCTCTCTCTCATTATCTTATTCAATATCTCCTGATATTTAATTTTGACATTAATGTTCTTTATTTTATAGTTACAACGAGCAATATGCCAAAACATCCAAATACTATGGCATACAAGAGTATGATCCAATGTCCCCCGATATTGTCCTCCAGCATGGCTTGAACTCCCCGTCAGACTACGTCGGCCCTGACTCACAACTTCGTGTGTGGTATGGGGAAGACTTGTTCAATACGAACGAAGGGGATAACGGAGGAAAAGCATGTGTAGACGTCTTCGGCTACTTTGTCTGAGCCAAAGCAATGCAATAAGTACGTCCAATAAGTAATGCCCATGCAGTTGTTAGCTAGACTGCCGTTTAAGGTAAATAAAACATGAAGGATGTAAAGCGACCTTGAGAATAAAGCATTCAGAAAACCAGTTGGAAGAGTAATGAATTTATTTTGAAGTCATAGGTAGTTGGAAATTTCCAAACACATATATGGAACTGGCTTCCCCGGGATAGGTTACTCGGGGGGAATCGAAGGGGGTATTTAGGGGTATTTAGTCTACTCCTACTACTGGTCTATCACATATCCTGCCCTCTGATTAGATGAGATACCAGTGTTATTTAGCAATACTGACTCGCCCCAAGTTGTCTCTCTAATATACCGACTTTGCCTTTTTTTGTTCCCTTCCATTGACCCTTTGCGCAATTCCAAGAAAATAAGTGAGGGACCACTGGGGACGACTCAGTTGCCAATAGACCACAAGTAGCGAAAAGTACCGCTTTTAAAAAGCCAAAATAATGGTAACTAACTAGCGTTTTCAGCCTAATAGACCCGTTTGGAATTCCAAATTACCACTGTGTTTCTTGATCACAGACTCATTTGCACAGGATTAGCCTCGATTTTGTGCAGAATATTCACGTGTTCCAGTCA